GGCGACTGCAAGGAACGATTCCATCCACCCACGATCGTTGTCACTATCCATGCTAGACAGCAAAGCATGGTGGCCACGCTTGCAGAGATTTATCATTCCCCCGCGGAAGATTTTGGGAGAATAGAGATTCATCATATGAGCTAAGGTTAGCTCCTCTCTAGTTTCCTGGCACAAACGTCGAAGGAAGGCGATTGTTCTCCATACTGAAAGACTTACCTGTGCCAAAAATACCTAGTAGTGAAGGCAAAACTCCGCAATCATGGAATCAAGCTCTCCGCTCAAATAAAACGCACCCAAAGTAAATGGATACGTGAAAAAGTATGTAAAATCTTCCTTGGGAAGGGTCATTCGCTCCGATAGATTAGGAGCAATGATATCCATATCATGGAAGCGACAGTCCTCCTTCACAACAAGAATACTGGAAGGATGGATGGAAGAAGGGTACCTACTAACGGCCCATGTACGAGGGTTAGCAATAGGAAATTTCTCTTCAAAGTCCTTTGTGCTACTAAGTCTTCTTGGGATGATGGATCCCACCATTGGAGAAACAAAGCCCTCGGTTTTGTTTTTGTTCTTTGTAGAACCAGCACGCTTGGAGGAAGAAGCCATTGAAAAATAAGAAGGAAAAGGTTTTGTGTTTGAACAGAATTAGATAAAGGATGGAAAACAAAGATGCAAATCAGAAGCTCGAGAAATTATGAAATGCAAAGGAAAAGAATATTGCGTATAAGTAAAATTTTGGCGGCTAAATTCATGGCCATGATTACCTCGATAATCGGCAAAAGCTATGCTGAATCATGGGATAACGCGTGTTCGGGATATTAAATACGGAGAGACGTGCGTCTAATCAACTGTCAGAAACCTTTAGAAGGAGTTATAGTAACTCCCGCCAAAAATGTATTTCTACCAACTTCCCGGTAATACAAAGTTATGTCACCGAAAAGTAGGGGGACTATATGTATAGGGTAAAATATGATATGACATGTGGTACGTCTAAAGGGAGGACACGTGGAACCCAAGAGGGGGATGGCCGAAGACCGAACACAATCATTCCGCTTGTCACCGGAAAAGATAACGTTCATAAAGGTGTGTTAAATGCTCTGCGCCCGATAGCATTTAATACGAAATATTCTGCAGCATTAAGAGCGACGGTCTATTACAGAGAATTTGGCATTTATGTTCACCGTTACGTCTTCGTCAATGACCCTCATAATTGACATTAAAGGAGGACACGATCCTAGGACCTCATTCCCTAGACATAGCTATAAATAGTGAGCTCAGCTATCATTGTAAGGCATACGAATTTTCTGGCAAAACTTATACTACATTCTATACAAGGCTTAATACAATCTTACTTTCTTATTTTTTGATCTCATCATTGCTGTGCCCGGAAATCCTGTTCCCGAAACTATTGTTTATGTTGTTTCATCTACATTTGAAGGCTAAGGATTGTACATTTCTTCAATTATTACATTATTTCAGGATCAAATTAGTTCACTTGTCTAGAAACCACGTATAAATTCAATTGTACCATTTTACGGGTAAACAAGAACTCATATTCTCCCTAACTTGAAGAACCCCCAATTTGAGTTTTTGCAATGTAAAAGTTAAACACATTGGTTATCCATTGGTTATCCATTTTTTTTATGTAAATAATATGAATCTTATCCATATTTGATCAATTTTTTAAAAGTTTATTATTCAAGCAATTTTTTAATGAATAATATGGATGGATAACCTTTTTTTATCTATTTGGCCGCCACTAGTCTTAAATTTAAACTTATATGTTTCATGATTTTCATAAATTACTATTCCCTCCGGTCCATAATAAGTGACTTTTTGGCCTTTTTATTTTGATCCAAAATAAGTGTCATTTTATATAATCAAGAAGGAATTAATTTTATTTTTCCAAAATTTGCCCTTATTTGCATATCTCAATGTGTCAAGGTAACCCTTAATTAAGGGTAATTTAGTGAATACATCTTTTTTTTCTCTAGGAGTTTGTATTTTCTTAAGGGGTGTGTCAAAGGCTAAAATGTCACTTATTATGGACCGGAGGGAATAGCATAGATGATATGCATCTACTCTGTATTTTCTCCAGCTATAGCACATAAGTTGTTTAGCAATAGAGGGGAAGTAAATCCGACCTTGCGGTTCTAGATTAATCGGGGAAATTAAAGAAAAGGAGAGAAGATAATTAACTGTCTTTTTTTTTTTTTTTGACTGCTATTGTCATATGAGATATGGGGCAAGAGAATGTCTTTTCTAAGTGAAGTGCAAAGGTCAAAAGTTTGTGGAAATCTTAACTGACAAACTGACACTCATTGAAATATATAAATGAATGAATACCATGAGTTTTATAAGTTCAGATTGAACAGTATATCATTATGTTGTCAACAATCAGAAAGGACTCACAGATAAAACTCTGGAAGTTTTTGCCTACAGATAGAAGCATAAAATTCTATCACACCCTCAGCTTTCAACTCTCTGTCTCCTTCATTAAATTTGGTAGATATTCTTCAAAGTTCAGATCTCTTCCTACCATTTTAATAACAATTTAAGGGTTCATTTGGTACGATGGATAAGTAAAAATAATTATGGGATAAAAATTATTGCTTTATTCCTTGTTTAGTTACTATTCTTGAAATAAGTTATCCCTAAATTAAAAATAGTACCGGAATAACTTACACCTGTCAGAGGATGAAATAGTAATCACATGATAAGTTATCTCAGGATAAAGCAGTAAATTGACAATCCATGATTAATACAACTACCAAAAAGTCAAGAAGAAATAATAACGGGATAACTAATTTTAGCATAACTAATTTCAATGTAACTAATTTCAGCATAACCAATCCCAACATAACTTGTCTTCAAACCAAACGACTCCTAAGTGTTGTATACCAATAGTATACAAATATTTTCTTTCACTCTCGGTGCATTTTAATTTGTAACGCCTATAAACAAATTTACTTTTTATTACTTATTAAGTAAGTTGATTTTACACTATTAATGCTTATAACTTAAACGCTTTTAATAAATGTATTACCAATGGACCATTCTCACTGAATCATAGAGACCTAGGAAGTATAAGTTTTGAAAGAAGAAAAGCCAAAGTGTCAAATCGGTTTATGAAGACTACAAATTACTACGGCTAGTAAGGTTCTGAAAAGTAAATTGAAGCACCACAAAACATAAAGGATAAGAACCGAACATATAATATGTTATACAATTGAAAACAACTAAATTCTTTACTTTTTCTTTGTTCCTTTCTCCATCTTTTTATGTAAGATGTTGGAGATGTGAACTAAAGCTATCACAAGAGATGTAATAAAAGTATTTCTTTTAGCGGCTCTATGGTTGTGTCGTGTTTATATAATTTGAATACGATAATGAAATCTTTGAGTTAAGAGTTAAGACAATGAATATAAGAGTAATAATTGAATTATATTGACGGCCCGAAAGGCCTAATTACTACTAAATATTATAGATAGTTAAGGTTTATCGAGAGAGATTTTGTAAACCGATTCGACCTATACACTGTATCATTGATGAAGTTAGCAGGCTTGACAGAGAAAGAAGATAATGAAAATAAAAGAAATTGTTACACCCACACCAGTACATTACTCTCGGGGGTCGTTTGGTTTGAATACGGCTTATGCTGGGATTAGTTATCATGGTATTATTTTTTATCCACTGTTTGATATGTTGTATTAAAAATGATAATTGCATAATTTCTAAAAAGAAGATATAAGTTTACCCGACACTAATTACCCCACCCCCTACAAGGTATAAGTTATCCAGGTACTAATTTTAATCTCGGAATAACTTATACCAGGTTTGCTAACCAAACAAAGTATTAAGGTGATATTAAAATTTAATATCAGCACTACATCTAGTTATACCTCATACCAAACGACCCCTTAGTATAGTGTCCCAAGTTTTAATGTGAGTCATAGGGTTAGACTCGATATGTTTCTTCAGTAAATCGAACATTTTGCCATGTTTCTTTTCTCACTTCGCTCATTGCTGCTACAGTTCGAGCTGGAGTTGTCGGAGTTACTTATTTGCGTTTGATACTCACTTTAATTAACCCACTATTTGTCTCTCAACTAAAAAGTAGTCTAATTCAAATTCCTCTCTCGAGTCAATAGAATTACATTAAGATTAGGTGTTGTAATATCCAAGTCAAACCTTCTTCAGCCGACGAATGACTACTTTTCGAATGTGTAGTTCTAATCCAGCTACTTCTTCATTTCTTTACTTAGTTAGATTATCCTTAAAGAGATCAATTTATTCAGATAATAAATTGATCCTTTTAAGAATAATCTAACCAAGAAAAGAAATGAAAAAAATACCTAGACTAGAAGCATGTTTCTTTGAAAAAACTCCTCCCATTACAACTTCAAAAAGATAGTTTTGGCAAGGAGAAATAACCGAAAAGTTTGCAAAGAAACTTTATGAAGACAAACCAACTGGAAATGTTTTCTGCAAGATTTGAAAATATATATATATATCTAAAACCTTTTGTTATAAAATTTTCGGTGTTTATGTTTGAGCAGCCATATCGGTTATAAAACCTTTTGTAATTAGATTTTCATTTTATATTTGTATGGTTGATCATTTTTTTCCCATTGAGATGCAAAGAAAAATTTCAATTGAATAAAGAAATACACGAGTAGGGTAAATGGGTCATCATGAGCTAATTGGCAGGACTTGGGCCTGGAAAACATAAATGGTCATGACCTTAGCAACAATAGCCTGGTCCATTAACAAACCTACCCAATTTCAGAAATGTGAAAATAAACGACAAATATACAAGACGAAATTATGAAAAAAGAGATCACTACGTAGAGGCTGCAGGATTCTGTAGATAGTAAACTAAAATTAATAGAATAGGAGCAAAAAATTAGCAGAACACAATTTGTAGGAAAAGTTGACTCTATTACATAATAAGCTACTTCTGTAGCTTATCTTAATCAACGAATAAGTGAAACAAGGAAACAGAAAAATTAATCTTTTCCCATTAACTAAATAAATATGAAATTCAGAAAATGTTAAAATTATGGTAATAGTATAATGCAGCGGCATGATAGAGTTTATTGTTATCTTTGCCTCACGTTCCCTCGGCTGTAATTAGTTTCGCAATCACAGGAGTTCTATCAACTTATTATTTGGGATACATCAGGGAGGTGTTGTCCACAGATAAAAGCCTTTTCCCTAAACACAGCACAAGTCTCATTTGCTAACACATCTAACCTTGAAAGGAAACGTCGTTTACTCGAACTCTCTCTTCAACAGATAGCTGAGTTGATCAAGACTCGTAATAGAAACTCGAAGAGCTCCTGCACCAAGAACAAAATCTGTACTTAAAGATCTTCTCTCCTATTCTTTGGGTCCACGATAATCATTAATCCACACTGTATACGGGGACAAAAACATGTATACGGGGACAAAAACATGTTCAACAGAAAACACATTGAGCAAACAAGTTATTGATCTTCCTACAATCGGGATATATTTAGCCTTGAGGCTCAGCCTCGACTAAAAGATACGTACATGGACACGGAGTAACACCATTTCTCCAGAGCAGACCTCCAAAAATATCAGGTGGTAAGCAAAGACCAATTTCACAAACTTTGGCCTGTCGGTATTTGCATCAAGCTCCTGATTACCTTATATGCTTTAACACCATCTATTTGTAAACCAATCAAATCTCATTATATAAGGGAACTCAGCTGACTAATTATATGAACTCCAACAACATTTTAGCACAAGACAATTTTTTTATTGGATTAGCGCTCACATACATAATATATCTTTTTTAATCAGCAATACAGTTTAATCAAGTAGTATCACATGTATCACATAAAAAAAAAACTATGCATGTGCAATCATAATTCATTTGCAACATTGTCCAATTTTGCTTTATACTATAATTATGCAGTATATGCAGCTACTTCCCCCCTAAATTACTGTATGGGAGTATGGCATTCTTAACATTAGATATATTCCAACTGACCTCAGAAAAGAAGGGGAATGAATGGTCAATGAAAGAGAGATGAACTATCTTATTACTAACCCCTCAAAGATTAGTTCTCCACATCAAGGACCGCACTAAACAGTTCAGGTTCCCTTCAGTAAAGGTAGTAGGTTATGTCATATCTATGCTTTCATTCCTCCTTTTCTTCCCTTTGTTTTGGGCGCATTCGAGGACCACATAACCAATAACAATCTCTCAGAGGTCTCATCAAAAAGATGCACATGACCCAGAAGAAAGAGAGAGCCTTGACCTAGGTTTGTATTAGGAGAATGAAGTTTAAACATTTTTGGGGAAGAATTAGGGCCAGAACATCTCACAGTAATTAAATATAGCTATCAAGATAATGAGAAAGGATTTACCTGAATCAAGAAGCAGCACCAGCAGCTTCTTTGATATTTTTAGTGTCAAAAATCTCGATCCAATAGCCATCAGGATCTTTAATAAAAGCAATACCTTTCATTTTTCCTGCAAAAGAACTTCCTTGTTTAGGAGATCAACTAAAGTATTTGCTAAGACCAGCTGATGATATGATTTAAAAACGAAAAGGGATCAAAGCATTCAAGACTACTATCTATCAGAAAATAGACAGAATGAAATCCAATATAACACAATAGCAGACGAGGTACGGGTTAACAAATTTCGAATGTGTTAGACACAATAACCTTTGAACTCAAGCATCTCGCTGCCAAAAGATCACAACAGAATCCGAGATTTAATGTTTTCTTGGTTAAGGTTTCATTTATAGGGATTGTTGTTAACTGGAATTTTCAGTGATATTGTTTTCTAGTATTTTTCATTAAATTGAGTATATGATAATCGATTAAAAATTGATCAGTTACTTTTTGCAATATAAGTGATTTTTCCTATACAGTAACCAAATACTAGTATTTGATATTAAACTGATTTAATAGAAGGTTTCAGGTTAAATCAGCTAAACACTACAAACATGCCATAGAAGCGGTTATCAAGGAAAAATAGGCAATTAGTGTGTAGCTGCTCTGTTTGAGCGATCGGATGGTTTTCTTATCTCATTAGAGTTTCTTTGTAGAATTTAAAGTCTTGGTGTAATATGAATGTAGTAAATGATCTAGATATAGTACTGGAATTCTTGAATTCCTTATCAAGTCCAGTGAAACTCTTGTACTCATATAGACCTTCTTGTTTTGTAATTATAAGAATAAAATTACTTACTAAGAAGAATAAATATACAATATTCAGCATAGATGTGATTATAAAAGCTTTTAACAGAAGACATTGTCTTCAGACATTCCCGCAATTTATTTTCCTAGTTCTTATTTCTCACAGTTTTCATTCCATCCTTTATTGAAAATGGCTGCAACATGAGAACCCATCTTTTTAGTATCCTTTGAATACAAGTTATAACCTAGTTCTCAGCTCACTTTTTTCCTCAATACCAGCATATGCTTCAAATCTTAATGTGTGCTTCATAAATATTTACAAAAGAATCTCAGAGACTAAGAGCAGCAACGTGCACGCACAGACATAAAAGAGAAGATAAGACAAAGAGAATGTATTTATGAAGGAGAAATGTTAAATTTTACTTCTCAAAACTAGCAGTTTTGCTGTACCAATGAGATTAAGTCATCAAAACTCAAATAATCAAAGGTCAGCAAGCATTTCTATATAGTGTTGCATTGACAAGTTCAGTTCACTTGTTAAGCTTGCATTTTTATACAAAAATCATCTCAAAGAGGCCTATAAGTATAAACTAATGTTAAATTACCATCAAGAGGCTTCTTTACGAATTCCACACCCAGTTGTTCAAATCTCTCGCAAGCCTTGTAGACGTCATCAACAGTGACACCTATGTGTCCTGAAAGAGGAGGAAACAAGTCAATCAGCATCAAAATAAGAATTTTAATATCTATGGGGACATGCTCTAGTTCCTCACAGAATTGCCGGTGTAGATGCAAAGAAGTGAGCAGCGAAGTTAATGAAAATAGGCAGCCAAAAACTTTCAAGTGCGCAACAATTGAACTTCGCGTTTCTGTAACATGTTTGTCAAAAAATTGGGTTGTAAACTTGTAATGTACAAGATGACTTCCATTCATAACCATTTTGGTGGAAGATAATCAGTTAGTAGAGGAACCAATGTCCATCTTCAGTTAGTGACCCTTTCATCTATTCTGACAAAGGCTGTACTTTTTCCATCCCAATATACAACGCATATTCTTCATCTACCACAAACCATCTCAATTGACTTGACCAACTTCTTTACGGTGCAAACTCTTTAATTCAAAGAAGTCGGTTTTTGAACAAAATTACCCTATATGTGAGCCTAGCTGTCATGATCAATAAATTACGTAAAGTAGAAGGTTTGTGTCCAAAGTATCAGCTAAGATATTTAATCAAAGTCAAAGGGAGAAACAAACAATTGCCAAGCTGCATTAGAGTAATGCAATGATTATTAAAAATAAAATACTTGATAAATAACATGCATTTCTTACACTTTACACCAAGACATGACGAGGTTAAGGTTTCACTGAGAAAGCATTGGGGTAAAATAAAGAGATGGAAAATGAAGATAAACAAAGAAGCTCTCTAAAGTCTAGGAAAAAGAAAGTTAAAATGCATAAATTACATACCAAAGCCACGTGGTTCTGAATTCCCATTGTGGTAACCTGTAAAATTAGGGTCACTCTCAGTACCCCAGTTGCTGCAAATAAGAATTTAGAAACAATGAGTTACGGATAGCAAGAAAAGAGAAAATATCATAGAGGCACCACATACAGCAAAAAGTTCTTACTGTGTAAGCTCTAATGTAGCTTTCTGACCAAAGGTCCAAGCCGTACGTTCAGCTGGATCAGTGGGTGCTGATGATGTATCCTATACCACCCATAAGCAAACGTAAATGGAAGAAGTATAGAAATTTGAGAGAGGAGGTATATCCAAAAGGAAAGAAGATACATAGCATTCTAAACACAAAGATTTCAGAAACTTACCTCATATCCCATGAAATATAAGCTGAACTTCATCTCAGGGAAATCCAATCTCTTGAGCAAGCTGTAATGGACAAGGTATCAATCATACCAAAATCTCGAATCTACATTTAGCTTAACCTTAAACTTTGGCTCCAACTAAGACAAAATACATCTATATTTCACCGATTCAAGAATTTGATCAAAATTGTAGTCATAAAGTTCAGAATTATATTTGATCAAACATAACACTCTTTGGGAATCCGAATGAGCTTTCAGGACTTATCAAACACTATACAGATCAAAATCCTATAGAAATATGACAACGAATTCCATTAAATTGTAACATACCAATATAAGCATTATCAAAACACAATATCAAGGAGAATATCCTAGTAAAGAAGATTAGCTTAAGCCTAAACTTTCAGGGCAATCCAATGTCTTGAGCAAGCAGCAATCGACAAGGTATAAATCATACTAAAGTACAACTCCACATTTAGCTTAAGCCTAAACTTTGGCTCCAACTAAGACAAAGTACATCTTTATTTCTCGGATTCAAGAATTTGATCAAACTCATCGTCATAAAGTTAAGATTTTTATTCATTAAACAGGATAATATTAGGGAATGCAAACAGGAGCCTTTAGAACTTATCAAATACTATACAGATCAAGAACCAACAGTAACATGATACTTAGTTCCACTAATTGTAATTTACCAATACAATCATTAACATAACACAATATTAGCTTAGTCACATTAGTGTTTCAGAGATACTGACATTTTTAGCAATATAACAGTAAAGTAAATTTAAAAAAACAAACATTTGGGAATTGATAGAAGACTTACGACATGCCCAGCACTTTGGAGTAGAATTCAAGACTGATTTTGGGGTCCTTAATTCTAAACATCTAAATTTAAAAACAAAAAAGGAAAGGGGAATTAACAAAATTGATAAAAATACATGTAACCAGTATCTGCAGTTCCATTTATATGATACAAATAAATTTTAAAAAAGGAAACAAATTTGGGGCTTACAGTTTGTTGCAAAAAGTAGCCTTTAGTTGCATCATCAGGAGTGGAATGAAGGCCTGGATTGTTGGAGGGAGAATCTTTGGAATCTGAAGCCATTGATGATGATATAAACCTAGCAAAATTAGGAACCTGCAAAAAGAAAACGTTCCCCAGAAAAGGGTACGAGAAAAATAAGAAATTTGAGAAAAAAGTGAAGCAAGAAATTATTTATTTTTGTAATAAGGTGAATCAAGAAATATTATGGGTCAGGGACCTTAGGTTTGATAGTGAAGAATACTTTAGGGGTTTGAGATAAAAATGGAGATAAAGAAGGTTTTTTAAGTGTTGAACGAAGTAGAGAGACGTAAGTGAGGGCTCTAGGGAGTGAAGTGGCCATTGGGGGGCTGAGGTACAGTGAAAAGGCTCTCACTGCCTTTGGATAATTAGCAGGCTTTAATTTTTGATCAAATTTTTTTTCGCCCCGAAACTATTTACGTTCGCTAGTCGAAAAAGAGTATAAAATATATATAATTTTTGTATATAACATATAAAATATATATATATATATATATATATATATACATCAGTTATTATTTTAAGAGCAACTTTATAGTTTCATTTATCATATTATCCTTTTTTCTATACATATTTTGCCATATTTAAAAATTCTTATCAAGATAAATATTCAATGATACAATCTTTGATCATCCTAGAACAGAATAAAATGGCGTACTATGATGGAGTACTTTTTATTTGTCTTTGATCTTATAGCCTGTTTGGCCGAGCTTTTTCAATCCTAGAAAATATTTTTTTTTTTTAAAGTTGAAGTGTATGGCCAAGTTTTTGGAAGAAAAAAGTAGCTTCTCTTCAAAAGCACTTATTTAAAAAGTACTTTTGAAAAAAATACACTTAGAAGCAATTTTTAAAAGTTTGGTCAAACACTAACTGTTGCTATAAGTACTTTTCAAATTAATTAGCTAACACAAACTGTTTCTCACTACTTTTGAGAAAAAAACAATTATCAAAATAAGTTGAGCTTAGCCAAACAGGCTATTAGTTTGGTGATTATCCACTTCCCTCTGCATTTTTTATTTATTATGTGGCAACTCTTTTTATTGGAGGAAAAATCTGAAATTTATCTTTGGGATAATTGTTAAGTTTTGATAAATGTATTAATATTCACCTTTTATTGTATTTTTTTAAAAGAGAAACGACGATTTAATTGAAAATGAGTGATTGATTTTGAAAAGTACAAACAGAAATTTCTTGTTTTCATATGGGGGAATCACGACTGAAGTTGATTATAAATTGTTAAGTACTTAATTTCAAAGAGAATGTGAAAGTGCTAATTTTGATTATTTGTGCTGAGATGCACATTTGTATTCTCATTCTACATTTATCATGCATAAAATAGTACTTGCATCTCATATAACTTAATGCGAGAAACTAAACTCCTCGTTAAATATGCGATGATAAATTTTTATTATGCAACTTATCAGACCCTGCATTAGAGTCCGTTTGGATTGGCTTAAAAAAAGGATTTTTAAGCGCAAGTACTTAAAAGCACTTTTTAAGTGCTGAAACTTATTTTATAAAAAAATAGTTACGTGTTTGGATAAAAGTGTTGAACCTGAAAAAAAGTTGTTGGAGTGTTTGTTAAACAAATGCTAGTAAACACTTTTTTCTGTTAAAATAACTAAAATATCCTTAAGGCTGTTAACACTATAAAGAAGATGTTACTATAATATTTTATTCTAAATTAACGCATATATAGATAATTTATAATTAAATCACTTTCAATTTTAATTAATTATCTAAATATAAATTATTTTTTAAAATAATATACAATAATTAATTATTTAACCAAAAAGTGATTTTTCAGTTCATAACTTCATATTCTGGGGTAACATGTAAACTCATTAAAATATTTGATTTAGAATATAGTTTCAGCAATTAAACAAAGGACGCATACAACGACAAAAAAAAATTAATTGTTATGAAACCAAAAAAAGAAGCTAAAGAATAATATTTACAAAATATTAGAATATATCAAACATTTATTTAAAAAGCTACCGTTGGCTTCCCTTTTAGCACTTCAAAAAAGTTAACTAATTTTGGTGAATATAGCAGCAACGATAAAATGGAAAATGGTGATGAGAACTGACACTTTAATTAGTAAGGGAAGGGTAGTTTTTGGGTTTAGAAAAAGTGAAAGGGGCGGTAAGGTATATCACTTGGTCAAACATAAGGAGCTTACAAGCCAAAAAGCAATAAATTGGACAATCTCAACTTATTACTTTTGGCTTGTTTTGATTATTTTAGCTTAAAAGTATTTGGCTTAAAAGCACTTTTATAGTCTATCCAAACACTCAAATAAGTCCAAAAATACTTTTAAGCTGGTTTGATCAGCTTTTAAGCCAATCCAAAAACCCTCTTAGTTATGTGGTAAATATTTTTCTTATATGGCCAACCAAATATTGTCTTATTTTATGCGAAAACTAATTATGTCAATGCAATTTACCAAACAATCCCTTAGTGAATAGAAACGTAAATTGAAAAAAGAAAAAAAGAGAAGCTAAATAAAGTCATAATATGTAGGGAAGTGCCTTACTCAAAAAGTCAAAAGAGAACATGCTATACCAAACTTATGTTGGAATTGGCAAGAGATGAAACAATAAATTCATGAATTTCCATCTGTAATTTGAAACATAACGAAACTTGAATTTTATTTTCACTCTTTTGTCTCATTAAATGACGGCAAATCATTCAACTCCTAAAGGGGTAAAAGGACAACACTTGGTGTCGTTATTGCATCAAAGAAAGAAAGAAAGAAAGAATGTTGATACTAGTAACTGTTGATAGTAGCACAAGAGGAATGAAGGAAAGAGAGAAAATAGCAAACAAAGATCTTACCAGGAACAAGCAATAAAAAGGAAATAAATATATGGATTTAATTTAAATATCTTGATAATATAAAGAATTTTTATGTTATTAGTGAATTTTCACATACAACATCAAGTTGTCTGCCTTATTTCAATTTTTTACTAATTCACATTTACTAAGAGGCAAATGCTGTGACTGTGACAGACAAACTCGCAGAATGTGGCATGGATTTTGTTAATATTTTGGAAAACATCTCCCTCCTTTGATTTACTTATTTTTTGCAAAAATTATTGTGATTATGTTTCTTCGCGATCAATCCACTGTTGTAATAATCAACTTCAATTTCCTATTTTCAATAAAATCTCCTTTTCTAAGCCCAAAAAATCATATTTTTGTGGTTCACATAAACTGCCAAAAGAAGAGCAGGTAGGCGTCATTATGGATCGCTAAAAGTAGGTGCATTTAGTTGGACATGATAATCTTCGACCGTTATTTATACTAAATTAATAATGAGTACGATCCACTCCCAACCAAGATGTGAGTTCGAGTCACCCCTGGTATACGGTTCGATTTTGTATGATTAATCAAGATCGGGGTGGCAGACCAAGGTCGGATCTCAAGTTATATTTTATCATTATATGTATAGATATTGCCTAGCTCGTGATTCAGGGATCAATCGAGATCAAAACCAGCTAAGTTTGAGACCGGTCAAGATCGTGATCGAGCTAAACAGAGACCGAACAAATCGAGACCGGCCAAGAAACAAAAAGGCCGTTATAGCCGCAATTGGGGGAGAATCTCGGCAGAAATCATGGCGCAAATCAAGGAGAAACTAATTAATTAGTCTATCATGGGATCCTCATTATGTATTTTTTAATTATATCCAAAATAGGATTTCCGCGTTGTATTAAGAGATGTTGTCATGTGTAGAAGGGGGCAGATTCATTGAGATCCATAGAACACAAAACAATACACTATTCTCATATAGCTTTAATATTTAGTCATATTGTTCTCCTATCAATTACTCTCCATTCAACTTGAAGGTTTAGGCTAACTAATTCATTCAGTTTGAAATTATTTCTTTTACAACTAATTTCAATATTCATTTATTTATCTTTCCCAATTTATTTCAAGTTATACCACGTATCCTTATAACTACGTATAAATTCAATTGCTATCCATTTTTCGGATAAACAGTTTGGCGCCCACCGTGGGGCTAAGGATAATAGTGGTTGTTTGATACAAATCTTTGTAAAACACACTATTTTACACTTGCTCTGGGAAGTATCTTTGATTTTAGGCTAAAAATGATAAACTCTCAATTAATGGCCCTACCTATCGATAACAAATCTGGCCATCAAGATGAGAACAACAATGTGACAACCGAGGATGAAAGGCCACCTGTCGACCCCGCTGGGACTCGGGCTGCGGATCCAATTGACGCTAATTCGCATGTGGCCATTGAAGCGAACCAATATTCCGGCCCCGAAAACAACATTCATGGTGGAACTCGATCTGCAGTTCGAAATAGCCAAAATGTTGGGGAAGACGGGATCAGCCTACGTATGATTTTTGAAATGTTGCAAGCTCAACAAGTAGCGATAGCTCAGTTGTAGAGCCAAACCCAGGCACCCAGCGGGCCTGAGCCCGGTCCACTCCAAGAAGTCACCCATAGAACGGGACCAGCTGTAGTAAGGTCAAATGAACAAGAATCAGGAACTAACCCCGAAATTATAAAGATTCTCGAGGAACTGACAAAACGGATAGAGTCAGGAGAAAAGAGGATTGAGGCAAACGACAAGAAAGTAGAAACTTATAACTCCAGGGTTGATCAGATCCCGAGGGAACCAACAATATTGAAGGGTTTGAATTCCAAAAAGTTCCTACAAAAGCCTTTCCCCCGAGCGCAGCTCCCAAATCAATCCCCAAGAAGTTCCGCATGCCCGAGATTCCTAAATATAATGGAACGACTGACCCCAACGAGCATGTCACCTCTTACACGTGTGCCATTAAAGGGAACGATCTAGAGGATGATGAGATTGAATCTGTATTACTAAAGAAATTCGGGGAGACCCTGTCAGAGGGAGCAATGATATGGTATCATAATTTACCACCTAACTCTATCGACTCTTTTGTTGTGCTTGCAGATTCTTTTGTAAAAGCACACGCCGGAGCCATAAAGGTCGAAACTAGGAAAACGGACCTCTTCAAGGTAAGGCAAAAAGAGAACGAGATGCTAAGAGAATTTGTATCTCGTTTTCAAATGGAACGAATGGATCTACCACCGGTCACAGATGATTGGGCTGTTCAAGCTTTCACTCAAGGCCTAAACATACGAAGTTCGGTAGCCTCACAAAGTTAAAGCGGAACTTGATCGAATATCCAACTGTAACCTGGGCCGATGTGCATAATCGGTACCATTCAAAGATTAGGGTCGAGGATGACCAGTTGGGGGCCCCTACCAGGTCCGTTTATCCAGACAGGGCCATCAACACAATTAAAAAGGATATTGACCGGGAACCACGGTCAAACAGAGATCGATA